ATGCATAGAGCACATTTCATCTGACACAGTACCTTTTAAATCAATTTATCTATTTATTTTGGTGGTGGCAAATCCCTGTCGAGTCGCCCACTTTCAGCCATCCCAGAGGGTTTTCAGGGTACGGGACGAACAGAGGTGGGTCCACCATTGCCTGCCTCTGTGTCGCAAGTGTGGACACCCACCCAAGTACAAAGTCAATCTCTTATTCCTCTTCTTTTTACAAACCCTAAATTCTACTCCCTCTCCCTTCCTCCAAGTTGGACAGCAATTAGCCAATCTACGCAGCCCCATATCACAATTTAAAATGCCGAGGGCACATTTCATCTCACACAGTACCTTTTAAATCAATTTATCTATTTATTTTGGTGGTGGCAAATCCCTGTCGAGTCGCCCACTTTCTGCCATCCCAGAGGGTTTTCAGGGTATGGGACGAACAGAGGTGGGTCTACCATTGCCTGCCTTTGTGTCGCAAGTGTGGACACCCACCCAAGTCCTCACCGGGGGCCGACCCTGCTTCGCTTCCGAGCTCTGACGAGATCAGGCTAGCCTGGGCCATCTAGGTCGAGGCTTCGCTTAGGAAACGTTATACGCGGCCTCTACGGGGACCCACTCGAGGCAGCTGATGAAGAGAGCAATAACCCCGAGCCGTAAAAAACAAAAAAAGAAGCAAAACAAAGTTATCAAAGAAGCCACTAAAAAACAAGCTGACGTGACTAAAAGGAGACACTAAAAAGCAAGCAGACACCATTAAAACTGGTCACTTAAAAGATGTGGGTTTTTTAAAAAAATGCACACATTCACAAATGGAATAAAGTGCAAATCCTAGGGATTCCCTTTTCTGAACTATTTTGTGATTGTAAATCATGGAATCAGGATACTATCTGGCAGGGGTCATTTCCTGCAGGAGCGCACAGGAGCGGAGCTCAGGCAGTAAAGAGCCCAGGGAGTGGGCACATGCAACAAGCCCCACCCCCTGCTCCCAGCAGCCCTCAGTCAGAGCAAGAAGCAGCCAGGTAAGTTGCAGAGCCCCCCCTGCCCCCCCGCTCCAAAACAGTCCACCTTTAAGACCAAGTTTTATTCAGGTACAAGCTCTCCCTCCTCTGCGAGGACAGATCGGCACGTCCCCCCCTCCCCCGCATAGCTAGCAATCCAAAACAGTCCAGTGGAGCCTGAGCGGTGGGCGTTGCCTTATGACACACTTCTGGTGATATCAGGGGGTGTGGCATATGCAAATGAGTTATGCTAATGAGCTCCTGCACCTCTTTTCCTACGAAATGACCCCTGCTATCTGGCATGTCTTTATTGACTGTAAGAAGTATGAACTCACTAGAGATAAATGGGTCACAGAGTGTATATTCGGAAGCGGGGGACGTGTGTCTCAGAACAAGAGGCAGTTACAAAGCTTCTGGCTGATACCAACTTAAGCGCAACTCTGACTGTGGCAAAACTTTTATCAATGGTTTTTAATGACTTTCATCCGTCATGGTGTATTCTTTTCCTTGTGCTTTGTATTTCTGGTTGCTGGGCTGTTTTCTGTATCTTTGGATTGTCGTATTCTGTACCATATGGACTACTGGACTTGTCTGCTCCTGGCCCATTGGTCTGTGAGCATGAAGGACAGAATAAAGGGAAATGCCTGCATGTCCCACCAGCACGGGGCCATGACTGGCTGCAGTTCCCTGACGAGACCTGGTGCAGTGTACCATCCGGAAGGGCTCCCCCCACAGACAAGGGGCCCCGCTTCCTGCACTCACTTCCGCTGATTGTCCGTCAGCGTGATGCCCTGCGCAGACACCTTGAAGTGGACCACGGTAGAGATGGGAGGGGGCTCTTGCACGAGCGTCAGACTCAAGGCCTTCTGCACGGCTTGGTAACCGGTGAGCGACTCCATCTCCACAGAATTCAGGTACCAAACGTTGCAGGCTGCGTTAGGAAACGAAAGAAAGATGAGAAAGGCGTGAGTCGTTCTGTACGGCGGGTTGGACTTCGGTCATGATCAGTGTTCCCTCTAAGGTGAGTGAGTGTGAGCCAGCTCACAGTTTTCTAGCCTCCGGCTCACCCCTTTTTGTCCTAGCACGGGAAGGGTGGCTCCAGAGCAAGCTCATTTTATGCAGCGGCCAAATCGCTCGCTCACACCTTTAACGCCAGTCGCTCACCAAGTAGAATTTTTGCCCCCAAGACTCCACAGCTTAGAGGGAACATTGGTCATGATGGCAGAGTCCTGTCCCCCTCCCCCTTTCTGACACATTATTGGGCTGACATTGAGCATGGAGAAGCCGTACGGTTGCGCTGAGTTGTTTCGGTTTCCCTGCCTCCCTTGCTTTCTCCCTCTCAGAGGCTGTGGCTCAGTGGTAGAGCATCTGCTTTTCATACAGAAGCTCCCGGGTCCAATCCCCAGCATCTCCACGTAAAGACAGACCAGGCAGCAGGTGATGCGGAAGACCTCTCTGCTGGAGGGACCGGAGTGCTACTGCCTGCCTGAGCGGGCAACACTGGGATGGACAGGTCAGGGAATCTCACTCGGGAGCCTTCCGCCTGTTATCAGACAACTACAAGGGCTGGAACCAGGGGCTGCAGGAGATGTTGGCCTCTGCTGCTATGCCGTGGGAGCAGGGAAACTGAGCCATGATGTCACAAGACGTCACATTTTGCAAACATCGAGATAACTGAGTTCTAAAGATGACAAATAAGAAGGGTATTGCAAGGAAATTGTATAGTCTATTGAACAAAGATAATGATTTCATGATCAGGACAATCTAAATGGGAGAAAGAGGTGATCCTATCAGTACAGGAGGTAAATAGACTAATGGAGGGAATACTGGACATAAAAATGGAAAAATTTAAAGAATTGGGAATGAAGTTAATCTTTAAATGGTATGGGACACCTGCTCAGTTATCTTACGTGATTAAGGGAATTAAGTCAGAGTGCAGGCATTGCAAAAGGGTAAGGGGATATTATACACATCTTTGGTGGGAATGCCCTAAGGCAGTGGTGGCGAACCTATGGCATGGGTGCCAGAGGTGGCACTCAGAGCCCTCTCTGTGGGGCACGCGATCAATAAGTGGGTTTTGGGTCGCAGTTTGGGCACTCGGTCTCTAAAAGGTTCACCATCACTGCCCTAAGGTAACTGAATTTTGGCAAGTGGTCCTGGAAAAGGTTGATAATTTATGTAACGTTAGGACTGAGCTGAATGACAAAGTGTTATTTATGGGAATTTTGGGAAATAATAAAGTAGATATACCTAAAAAGGATTTATTTAAAGCAATGATTCTAGCAGCTCATGTGGTAATTGCGTATGGATGGAAAGATGCATTAAAATGGACTTTGGAAAGATGGGATTGGTACCTATGTGAACGGATTCAATCGGATATCTTATTGATATTAAAACAGGGAAAGACATGGGAAGGTAAGATTGTTGGAGATAAGGAAGAAGTGGTTTGGGTATATAAGATGGGTAAGAGAAGGGGGGGCAATAATGATGTATAGGTAAAACTCCATAGGGTGTGCTCATGGTTGCAGATATAATAAGGTTTTTCTTTTTTTCAATTGGTCACTCGGGTAAGGGGGGGAGGGAGTAATAAAGGGGAAAACGGATGTATTTGTTGTGTGGTTATGTAAACCTGATGAACACAATTATGCGTGGGGATGAAATGTAAGACATCGATAAAACAATTTTTAAAAAAAAACTGAGGAGGAGGGAGAAGATGACCACATGAGTCTGCTGTTTCGCAGGGGTCGTAGTACATCTGCTGCACGTATCGTTCCAGAGCAATGTCTTTGCAACCAAAGGTAATAACTGAGGTTTTAATAACCGCTATTGCCCTGAACTGTGGTTTTCGCTGTTATGTCTGTTTATATGGTTTGTTCTTTTTTAAATTCAGCTACTGTATATATAGTAAAGGTAAAGGTTCCTTTGCTCGAAAGCCAGTCGAATCCGACTCTAGGGTTGTGGTGCTCATTTCCGTTTCAAAGCCGAAGAGCCAGCGCTGCCCGAAGACGTTTCCGTGGTCATGTGGCCGGCATGACTAAACACCGAGGCGCAAGGAAGGCTGTTCCCTTCCGACTTAAGTGGTACCTATTTATCTACTTGCAATTTCTTGCTTTCGAACTGCTAGGTTGGCAGGAGCTGGAACTAGAGACGGGAGCTCACTCCATCATGCGGCACACTCGGGTCTCGAACTGCTGAACTACCGACCGTCCACAGCCTGCAGTTCAGCGTCTTAACCACTTGAGCCACCGCAGTATATAGACTTTATTTTAAATGTTTTAAATGGTGAAATGTCTTAATGTGTGATGCTCACTGCCTTGGGGGACCCTGTTAGGATGGAAAGGCAGCGCAGAATTGTTTCAAATAAAAACACTGGATCACCCTTCCCTATGAGGAAACGCTGAAGAGCCTGGGGCTTTCCAGCTGAGAGAAGAGACAACTAAGGGGAGGACATGACCAGTGTTCCCTCTAAGCTGAGTTAGTGTGAGCCAGCTCACAGTTTTTTAGCCTCCGGCTCACAATTTTTGTCTTAGCTCAGGAAGGGATGGCTCCAGAGCAAACTAATTTATGCAGCAGCCAAATCACCTGCTCACAACTTTAATGCCAGTAGCTCGCAAAGTAGAATTTTTGCTCACAGGACTCCACAGCTTAGAGGGAACATTGGACATGATAGAGGTTGGTGAAATCATGCATACGGTGGAGACAATTCACAAAGAGACATTTCCCCCCGCTCCCAAAAGACTAGAACTCGAGGGCACCCAATGAAACTGATGGGCAGGAGGTTCAGGGTGGACAAAAGGAAATACCACTTTACACAGAGAGTGACTCAAATGTGGAATTCGCTGTCAGAGGATGCTGTGAGGGCCACAGGAATAAACAGCTTTAAAAGGGGATGAGAGAGATTCATGGAGGATAAGTGGCTACTAGCCGTGATGACGGAGGGGAACCCCCACATCCAGAGGCACGAAGCCTCTGAATCCCAGAGCCAGAATGACAACATCATGGGAAGGCCTCGGCCTCTACGCCCTGTTGTTGTCCCTCCAGAGGAACTGGCTGGCCACTGTGTGAGATGGGATGCTGAACTAGGTGGATGACTGATCTGAGGGCTATTTTTGGGCAGGAACGCACAGGAACGGAGTTCCGGCTGGCTCCCGAGTTGGCCACGCCCAGCAGGAACTCATTAGCATAATAGGCCACACCCAACAGCAGAAACTCATTGGAATTGGCTACATTCGGGGTGTGTGGTCTAACATGCAAAGGAGTTCCTGCTACAAAAAAACCCCTGGGTTTTGACAACAAGCAAGGTAAACAGAATAAGAAGCTAAAAGTGGGTGTGGCTGGATGACCACACTTCTGGTAACATGGGGGTGCGGCCTAATGTGCGAATGAGCTGTGCTGTCAGGGGTATGGCCTAATAGGCTAATGAGTTCCTGCTCTTGGGTGTGGCCTATTATGCTAATGAGTTCCTGCTGGGCTTTTTCTACAAAAAGAGCCCTGGGTAGGGCTGTTCTTACATCATTAAATAAATCGAAGACCATGCGTTCCCTGGCCTCAGGAGGGCTAATACATGACCCTCAAGATTCTAGTTCCATTCTGCTTTGCACATGGAAGAAAAATAGTAATACCTAATCCCCGAGGATCAAGGGCTTTGAACAGAAAACATTAACACTTGGGCAAATAATCTTTCTGGCTTCAAAGGCCTGTCATTTATGACAGTAGTTTTCTCTGAGGCAATCTGTTCATTGTAGAGAATTACCTCCCCTGAAAGGTAAAGGGATTCAGATTGAAAAAGCCAAGCCAATATATAAATCGGTTACTTAGCCGGAACAAATACATCTCCCCTCCCCTCCCCGTTCTGCTATTAAGGTCACCAGCAGAGGGCAGTATTGCACCCCAGAGCTGCCAAAATCAAAAAAGAGAAGGAGGATCATTCGCTTTAGTCTGGCAATGGGGGGGAAAACAACTGAAATTTCGGATCCCTTGAAAATAATCTTTGAACGCCATGACGGCACATTTGCCGATTATTCTGGATTTTATAAACAGTATCTCTGATTCTGAACTGAGATTTTTTTTTTGTTTCCTCTTTCAAATGATTTGGGAAATTGTTTCCGGTTCTCTGTGACTGCACTTCGTGCTACTTAAGCACACTGCGTACTAAAGAACGGAGGCTGGCTGGCTGGCTGTGCCTTTTGGTTTCTTTCAGCCACTTCACTCTACAGCATGTTTCCCTGTCTCCATAGGAATGCCCCGGGGAACTTACGCACCTGCCCCCTGCTTTAGAAGCTCTGCAGCTGAGTTCGCAGCGGTCTGCGGGGAGGTTTCGGACATCTCCTCCAGTGGATCTGCAAAGAGAAGCGGTCGACACACATCATGGCAATCTGGATCGTGAGGTTCTGCATTCCCTTCATTACACTGCACCGGAGAGTGTCTGTAAGGCGTTTGTGGGGTTAGGCAGCAATCCCTTGGGGTATTCTCCTTCGTATCCCTTCCAACCCCATCCAAAACTAAATGAAGCAGGAGAATGAAGCGGCCACTGGCCCTTCACTTCTTCCGTCGAAGATAGTCTTTCTCTCCCTTTTTGTGTAGCTTGTATGTAAACCTGATATTGTATTTTACTGTTTTATACTGTGTTTTTTTACTGTTATAATCTTGGCACATTGTGCCCTTGTTAGCCGCCCTGAGCCTTCGGGGTAGGGCGGGATATAAATCCAAGGATAAATAAATAAACATTCTCTTACAAGGGAGGGAGGGAGGAAGTCAGGGATCAAAAGGAAGTCCCTCCCTCCCAGGAAAACATGGCTTTAGTCCCACCTCCCAGGTTCCAGGAGAGGGGTCCCTAAGCCAATGATGAAAAGAATGTCCTGTCCACAACAGGGAGCATGAAGACGTTCTGGGGGAGATGTGTTAATGACATCACGGCACTGGCCAATCAGTGCCAGTCACAAATGGATTTTGCTGTAAACTTGAAGAATTTCCCCCCCCTTCAAATCTTGACAACCCCCCCCCCAGAAAGGAAAAGCTACCCTGTATCGAATTTTAACAGCACCCTTTGAAACGGGCCTAGAGCTTCCCTACGTGATCTCTTGTCTTCCTCCTCACTTTTTAAAGTTCCTGTTTTGGTAGGTTAAAGTAAAGTCTGTTCTCGCCATTCTGCGAACACAGTGATCTTCCCCAAATGCACGCAGCTGGCGTCAAGTCTCTGGCACCCGATCATATGCCTAAAATTATCACCACATCTGTTCTGCAACGATATGATCACTTGGTACCAGAGTGGAGGGCTTCAATCATGGGCTCTTTTATCTAAACCCTCTGCCCTATCAAAACTCCAGACCGGATGCTGATTCACCCGCCGTGACAAAAGAGCTGCTGTACGAAGGCAGACGTTACGAAAAGGGGGGGCTGGGCTGGTTACAAGCAGTGTTCCCTCTAAGATGAGTTAGTGTGAGCCAGCTCACAGTTTTTTAGCCTCCGGCGCACACATTTTTGTCTTAGCTCAGGAAGGAGGGCTCCAGAGCAAACTGATTTATGAAATAGCCAAACTGCTTGCTCACAACTTTAATACCGGAATTACAATTACAAAGTCGCTCTGAAAAAGGAGTCCCTAGGAATCGGCCCGCTAATTCCCCGAGAGGCAAAACATTTAATCTTGCCTTGGAAAACAATATTCTATATTTGGGGACCATCCAAAGATTTACAGTAAGAGGGCAAAGATTGCGGAATCGGAAGACCTCAATCATACAACGAACAGACCTGTCGAGCTTGGCAACTTGTGTGCCATTTATCTAAGTGTAAAACACTAGATTTAATTTGCTTCTGCGCAGAAGGGTACTCCAATTTCTTAGTCCATACTGATCCAAATGCGACGTTGGCAGTGGCAACGTTTCTATCTGTAACCCTGGGTGGTATTAAATGAATTGACTCTTTTAGGCAGTTAATATATATATTTGGTAACCAAACAGCTTAATTTTGTGAAACTGTAATTGTAATGTACTGTATGTATATATGTTGTATTTTGTATCATACCCTGTCTATTTGCTTATGACTTATGGGTCTATGAGCGATAAAATGAATGAACCTGAACCAACTTTAGTGCCAGTAGCTCACAAAGTAGAATTTTTGCTCACAAGACTCCACAGCTTAGAGCAGTGATGGCGAACCTTTTAGAGACCGAGTGCCCAAACTGCAACCCAGAACCCACTTATTTATCACAAAGTGCCAACACAGCAATTTAACCTGAATACTGAGGTTTTACTTTAGAAAAAACAATTCATACATTAACTTAAGATGATCCAAACAAAGTAAGGAAAGCAATCCCAAAGGCTTTCATTTACTTAAAATTATTTGGCAGAGAATTCAACACTTTAATGATCGCCTGGCTGGGGCGATGGCACGCGTGCCCACAGAGAGGGCTCTGAGTGCCACCTCTGGCACCCGTGCCATAGGTTCGCCACCACTGGCTTAGAGAGAGCCTTGGTTACAAGGGGGGCTCTGTTTCATTTCGGGAAGGAGTACCTCGGTCTGGGATGAGAAGCTTGCACGGCAGGGCCAGGGGAGTGATGGAGTGCTGGTACACTAAAGCCGTCAGGCTCCCTGCAGGTAAAAGAAGACGATGCACTGAGTTAGTTATCGAGTAGTGCAGGAAGGGTCGGTTCCCAGCTATGTACCTTTTGTAAACGGAGGGGCCACGTGAGCAAAGAAAAGAGCCTTGTGGCAGTTTACAGGCTAGCAGAAGCGTAAGCCTTTAATGGGCTACAATCCGTGACCTCAGATGCATGAAGTGAAACGTTCAGTAGCAAGACGTATAGCAAAGAGGAAGAAAAATAGTCAGCTCCCGGTTGTATTTCACAAGATTTTTAAGCCACTCTTCTCGGCTGCCCTCCCCCGCTACGCATCCCACTGACTGTGGTTTCACATCATGTGTCCAACGAGAAGAGACGCTAACTCTAACTCACAACAGCCCGCATGATGCTTTGCTCTGCTGCTAAAGACTAAAGCATAGTATAGATAACAATGTAATATTGTTTTTTGTAGATTGTCCATGAAGATTGTATTGACGAGAAGAGACTCTAACTCACAACAGCCTGCATGCTTTGCTCTGCTTCTAAAGACTAGTGCATAGTATAGATAACAATGTAATATTGGTTATTTGTAGATTGTCCATGAAGATTGTATTGGGCCCTTTTTCCCACTCTCTTGATGAGTAATTGATCACAGACGTTTTTGTACGTATTTAAAATCTGTATTATGCTTAAATTACACTGTTTTAGGGCACATCACACCTTGTATTCTCATGCATTGTTTTATAAATGTTTTGGAAAGGCCACCAATTTTCTCAAATCTCCGTTCAGAAGAAGATACGTCGAGACAATAGTTGTCATTCCGGAGAACACCTTAACTGAAACTGACTTACCAAAACCGAAACTGACTTAGCAACAGTTCTACTTATTGATAAATTACACTTTACACCCGAAGTAATGCTTTTGAGTAAACTACCTAAAGACTTAGAAAAAAAGCAATAGATACTTAATTATCTGCTTTACTACAGCGGCAAGAATGTTATATGCTGAAACTGACTTAGCAACAGTTCTTCTTATTGATAAATTACACTTTACACCCAGAGTAATGCTTTTGAGTATACTACCTAAAGACTATCTAAAGATTTTGAAAAAAGCAACAGATACTTAATTATCTACTTTACTACAGCGGCAAGAATGGTATATGCCAAATACTGGAAGGTACAAGATGTACCAAAAAAGCAAGTATACAAAAACTGATGGAAACAGTGGAAAGTGATAAATTAACTTTGTTGATAAGAGGATCCACAAACTACACATTTCAGAACACATGGAGGCGCTTTTATAATTGGTATAATAGTGCAAACGATTGTAACCTAAAAATGTAATCCCTAGAGCAAAGTAGAGGTTAGATCATTGAGATAGCAGGGTACAGATGCTGGTTTTAAGATACAAAAATGTGAGCTCATAGAAAATAATGTTATGGGGTACTATATTAGATCAAGAATATCTAAGAGGCAATTATTGGGAATCATAAGCATTTGATAACCCCATTTGTGTTATATGTGTGTATGTTTAGTTTGTCTGTTATGAAAAAACAAATAAAATTCTACCTTTTAAGGGTAGATTTTTTTTAAAAAAAGATAAATTACACTTACATGTTTATATACTTATTTTAGTGTGTTTCACTATGTTACTGTAGATTAAAAAAAAAGAAAGATAAATTACACTTACATGTTTATACTTACCTTATTTTAGTGTGTTTCACTATGTTACTATAATACTAACAATGATCTTTTGCATCATGTTTACAGGGTTTTTTGCCTGCCTTCTTGATAGACCGCTGCCAAAGACGGCACAAGGCTACGCTAGGCTTTCCAAAATTTTAGCTCTCAGGTCCTCTACCCCAAGCCAACAATGTTTGAATAAGCATTTCCTTTGCGTCTCTATTTCCCCACCCTGTGCCCCCCCTCCAGAAACATTCAAATGCAACCGGGGGGCTAGGTGTCTGAGAAGCAGCACCGGGGAGCGGGGTGTGTCTGTGTGTGTCTTCCCACCCACCTGGCCACGCAGATGGGAACAGCTACTTCCGCTTGCCATCTGGGGCCACTGGATGCAGCCCCCACCTTCCTTGCCAGCAGCCATGGTCTGGCCTAGGGACGCAGACTCCGGAGAGGGCAGAAAGGACTGTGCCACTTCAGACTGGAGGTGAGGGGCATCTCAAACAAACACCCTCCAAGAAGAAAGCGCTACAGCAAGGAGAGATGTGGCCGCGCCTCGTCCTCCATGGTGGTTTTGTTTCCTTGCAGACAGCAGCCAAGAGGGACCGCCGAAGCTCCGTTGCAGCCGGGAACACTCCACACAGCACTGGACACAGTGTTCCCTCTGAGCTGAGTTAGTGTGAGCTAGCTCACAGTTTTTTAGCCTCCGGCTCACACATTTTTGTCCTGGCTCAGGAAGGAGGGCTCCAGGGATAACTAATTTATGCGGCAGCCAGATCGCTCGCTCACAACTTAAATGCCAGTAGCTCACAAAGGAGGATTTTTGCTCACAAGACTCCGCAGCTTAGAGGGAACATTGCGCTGGAGCCCTCTCTGGAGCCACCCAAATTCGCGCTTCCCAGCACTGCAGCTCCGTTCTTCCTTCTTTTTCCACTTTCCTGCTAGCTGCTCTATGCAGAGCAGCCGGAGCACGACCTGCTGCAAGCGGGGCCGGCAAGAAACTGGATTGCCTACAAGGGGATAAGCCCCTCCCCCACCGGGATCAAAGTTGGAGCTGACCCTGCGGGAGGAGGAGGAACTTATCCCAGACCAATGTTCCCTCTAAGCTGTGGAGTTTTGTGAGCAAAAATTCTACTTTGTGAGCTACTGGCATTAAAGTTGTGAGTGAGCCATTTGGCTGCTGCATAAATTAGTTTGCTCTCTGGAGCCGTCCTTCCTGAGCTAAGACAAAAATGTGTGAGCCAGAGGCTAAAAAACGGTGAGCTAGCTCACACTAACTCAGCTTAGAGGGAACACTGTCCCAGAAGTGGGGAATGTCCCACAAAGAACCACTGGAGAAATTGTCCTACATGGGGTAGGGATTTAACAATGGCATCGTCCATCCACAGCTTGAAAAGGCAGGGACCTGCTCAGCAATGTTCCCTCTAAGCTGTGGAGTCTTGTGAGCGAAAATTATACTGTATGAGTTCCTGTCAATTAAAGTTGTGAGTGAGCGATTTGGCTGCTGCATAAATCAGTTTGCTCTGGAGCCATCCTTCCTGAGCTAAGACAAAAATGTGTGAGCTGGAGGCTAAAAAACTGTGAGCTAGCTCACACTAACTCAGCTTAGAGGGAACAGTGCTGCTCAGCTGTCTACTACCTCGTTATGCCATGTGTCCGGACCAGGCCTATCTCTGGGGTAGCATGGACAGGGACCGCGTTGACTGGCATACCTCAGAATGCATCTCTGGGCCTGACTGGCATGCAGAGGCCAGAGATCTCCCTTGCCAGCTCACGGGAGGGGCTGTGGTCCCTGGTTCAATCCCCAGCACCAGTGTTCCCTCTAAGCTGAGTTAGTGTGAGCTAGTTCACAGTTTTTTAGCCTCCGACTCACACATTTCTGTCTCAGCGCAGGAAGGAATGGCTCCGGAGCAAACTAGTTTATGCAGTAGCCAAATCGCTCGCTCACAACTTTAATGCCAGTAGCTCACAAAGTATAATTTTTGCTCACAAGACTCCACAGCTTAGAGGGAACATTGCCCGGCACCCCCGGTTAAAAGGAGGTGACATGAAAGACTTCTGCCCTGAGACCCTGGAGAGTTTTTGCCAGTCTGAGTAGACAGTACTGACCTTGATGGACCAAGGGTCGGATTCAGAATGAGGCAGCTTCATGGGTGATGAAGGGGACTTGTCCTTTCAAGTCCACCCAACCAGCATACTGTTCAAAGGGTCATCACTGACCTTCGTCCACTAGGTTTCATTTGCACAACAGAAGCCACGCCATGTCAAAGAGGGACTTGCGGTTCTTATTCAAGAACCTAAAGGTAAAGGTTTCCCTTGCTTGAAAGCCAGTCGAATCCGACTCTAGGGGGCGGTGCTCATCTCTGTTTCAAAGCCGAAGAGCCAGCGCTGTCCGAAGATGTGTCCGTGGTCATGTGGCCGGCATGACTGGACACCGAGGCGCGCGAAACGCTGTTACCTTCCCCACCAAAGCGGTACCTATTTATCGACTTGCAATTTCTTGCTTTCGAACTGCGAGGTTGGCAGGAGCTGGAACCAGAGACGGGAGCTCACTCCGTCACATGGCACTTGGGTCTCGAACTGCCAAACTACCGACCTTCCAGCCTGCAGTTCAGCGTCTTAACCACTGAACCACCACAGCCCCTGATTCAAGAACCTGCATGAACCTTAAAAAGACTTTATTTGCCAACTAGCCAACATCAAAACAAAGCTCCTGAGCAGCAGCTGCCATAAACAGCTTGCACTTTTGCGTCCGCATTCGTTTGGAGAAAGCATGCCTTGAAAAAAACTTTGGACAGATAACTTTGGTTTTAAGGTTTTATTTATAGAGAACAGTTACAGCCCACTTTTCTGCCCTCACCGGGGCCACCAAGGCAGTTAACAGATTCAAAATACACACGCATGGCGCCGCAAACTGAACGATGCTTCGGCTTTGCCCTAAATTGTAAATTGTATACGTTAAACCACTCAGAGCCCTTAGGGGGTGAGCGGTCTACAAATCGAAAGAATAAATAAATAAATAAATTGCGTTGATTTTTTTGGGAATATATACACTGTTTGAAAAAGCAATGGATGTTGTGGGAAGAACACGGGCTGAAGGGCATGAAGACGGCGAGGGAGCGGAGGAAAGGAGGGTGGGCTGAGGACAAAGCGTAAATAGCGAGGAGATAAAAGATCTGGCAGGAGCTCAGCCGGGAAGGACGGGTGTGGCTGGAGGAGACAGGAAGGGAGACGCACGATGCAACAGGGACCCAGAGAGGGGGGTATTCAGGGAGAAGAGCTGAGCGGATCAACTGGGCTCCCACTTCTCTGAAGCAGAGCAGCGGGTATCGAGCAGGGGGTGAGGAAGGGGACTTCACGCCCTCCCTCCCGCAGGCTCTCCCCCCATCACGTTTCTGGGGAGGATCCCTTAGTTGACAGCGACACCCCCACTCCGCCAGGGTTAGGGATGCTCGTTTCTCAAGATAATAGGGAAGAACAATGAAAGCTGTGTATGGATCTGCTAAGGAACACTACCAAAGTCGATAATCACAAAATATATTTTTGTAGCAGGAACTCCTTCGCCTATTAGGCGACACACCCCTCATGTAGCCAATCCTCCAAGAGTTTACAGAGCTCTTCTCACAGGGGCTACTGTAAGCTCTTGGAGGATTGGCTACATGAGGGGCGTGTCGCCTATATGCAAAGGAGGTTCCTGCTAGAAAAAGAGCCCTGAATGAAAAACATCCAAGATCATATCCAAGTGCAAGAGGAGGTCGAAACAATGAAGTTAACGAAGTTTTCCGGATTAAAAAGCCAGTTCTTAGTCTTCATCCGAACGGGACCATGTGTATTTTTTAGAGATATCGAATTAAATACATAAGTTACAATTGTACTCTGGAAAACTTTGACAACTTCATTGTTTGGACCTCTTCTTGCACTTGTATATGATTTTGGATGTTTTTCGTATAGAATATACAAGGGGGCGGGACCCGTGATACTCGCGGGGTGGTGCGGGACCTCCACACAGGAGGCAGAGGAGGAAGCAGCGGGAGGAGGTAAGTTCCCCCCCATCCCGCCGGTTCCTCCCCGTCTCCTCCACCACCCCCCGCTCGATCTCCCTCCCTTCCCTTCCACACCCGCGCGAGCCTCGCTGCTCTCTTCCACCCCCCAAGCGGCGGCGGCAAGGGAGTTCGCACTTTTGTCACTTGGGGGGGGGATTTAAGTATCACCCCGATATTTTTTTCAGGTTTTTAGATTTTTGTGCACGCCTGGGGACTGCCCCAAGTGTGCACAAAAATCTCCCTCCCCCCCCAGATTTAGGTATCCGCACGCATATATAGATTTTGTGATTATTGACTTGGTTAGCATTATTTAGCGGATCCACACACAGCTTTCGTTGTGCTTCCCTATTGTCATGAGAGCTGTGGTTCTCCGTTTCCCAGAGAAGCCATAAGAAGCAAGTGCAAAGTGGAGGCGGAACGGAAGGAAGGCGTGCCGGGAAGCCAGAAGAACCAAAGAGAGGCAAAAGCCCCCCAAAGCAGGTCGCTTACGGGTCAAGTTGGGTCCAGCAGCACCGTAGAGCCCAGCAATTTTCAGGGTATGGCGCTTTTGAGAGTCAAAGTTCCCTTTGTCCCATACCAGATATCTGACGAAGGGAACTTTGACTCTCAAAAGGTCATACCCTGGAGATCTTGCAAGGCTCTATGGTGCTGCTGGACTCAAGCTTCAAGAGGGGACTGGATAAGCGTATGGAGCAGAGGTCCATCAGTGGCTATTAGCCACAAGGTATAGATAGGAGCTCTCCGTCTGGGGCCAGTGATGCTCTGTATTCTTGGTGCTGGGGGTGGGGGCAACAGTGGGAGGGCTTCTAGTGTCCTGGCCCCACTGCTGGACCTCCTGATGGCACCTGGTATTTTTGGCCACTGTGTGGCACAGAGCGTTGGACTGGATGGGCCCTTGGCCTGATCCAACATTGGCGTCTCTTATGTTCTTGAGTCCAGCTGTTCTACTGCAGGGCCAAGTCGGCTCCCCTCTGAAACCAGCTGGGGCTGATTGATTTATTAGCGCCAGTATTCCAACAGCAACTTTCCCTGGGGGCCGAGGTCAAGTCACACCATGCGCTCGTGTGAGATCTTCAGTGGTGGTCGGGCTGCAGGCGGCCAGAGGTCGGGAATCGGCTTCCTGTGCGGCAGTGCCTCATTTGTGTGACACGCCCCTCCCACTCCTGGGATATTTGTTATCATGCATATGGTGTTAAAGAAGTTGGATTTGTGGCTGAAGGACAGGCTGACGACTCTGCTGCCATGTCATTTGGACAGTTTGGCATGTGGCTTAGGGTTATAACTGCAGCTGGTTTTATTCCTCATTTGCACTTCTCCTTGGAGGCCACCATGGGGCTGCGGTGGCTCAGAGGTTAAGAGGCTGAGCTGCAGACCGGAAGGTCTGTAGTTCGGCAGTTCGAGACCCGAGTGCTGCATGACGGAGTGAGCTCCCGTCTCTGGTCCCAGCTCCTGCCAACCTAGCAGTTCGAAAGCAAGGAATTGCAAGTAGATAAATAGGTACCGCTACGGTGGGAAGGTAACAGCATTGTGTGCCTTGGCATTTAGTCATGTCAGCCACATGACCACAGAAACGTCTTCAGACGAGCACCGTCCCCTAGAGTCAGATTCAACTGGCTT